TTTATATGTTTATTTAAAATACAATATAATTTTTTAACATTAATATTTCAGCTATATTTAATTTATTTATGTCTTATATTATGTACTTAACAGAAATTTAATATAAGTTCAGATATTTATCCTCTCTTTACACACTTAGGTGAGTTTGTAAGAACTTCCATTATTCGTTTAACAATTTCTGGTTTTACATATTTGCGAATGAAAAGTAATCAAAAGTAATATATAACAGTTTTTAAGCATACAGAAATTCTCAATATATATCAATATTTATTCAAATATACACATTCACAAGAAAAGAGTGTATTTAGCTAGTAATTAAAGCCTTTTTAGTGTTATGACTAGGATAATATATTCAGTATTATAGAACTTGTAAAATAGTGCATTTAAACAACGAACAAATATTTTACAATTATATGCAAGAGAAGATAGGATAAAGATAATTTAACAAAAATTTAATCTATTAAATATAACAGAAGTATTTATAATCTTTTTTTTTTGATTAAAATACGTAAAATTATTTATGTTTTTGCATATGCAAGATAAGAACATCCTGCTCAATTATTAGTTATAAGTAGCCACTTGAGAAGAAACATTCTTTAAGTATTCCCCAATTTATTAATTTATACGATTAATACATTAAACTGTTCGTTACAATCCACTGTTTTATTAAATTTATTTAAAAATAAATAAATCCAACTATTATAAACCTGAAAAGGATTTAAAGAAAATACTTAATTGTTATATTATTTATATGCAAGTAAATAACAATTTACTTTATAATTTATTTCACGTCTTTAAACATTGTAATATTTTTAGTAAATCTGTTATTCTTATTGACAAGCGAAGAAAATTAACACGATAATACGCTACAGTTTCAGATCATTGAATACTCAGTCCTTGACGGTATTACAAGTCTACAAGCTAATACGAACAAACTTTAAAAGCAATCACTTGTTAGATTGCATAAATGGTGTAAATTGTTTGAAAACTCATGATACGGCAAAAACTGAATGCCCATCACTACCCTCGACAGAACTCGCCGGCTGCTTCTCTCCCCTGCTTCCCTTTGCCTTTCTGTTTCTCTCCTTCCCCTCTCTCCGCTCTCTGGCCGGTTCATTGGTTCATCGGTGCACCGGTCCAGGCTCCGTATTCTTCTCTCTAATTATACCGTTACGTGCAATCGCTCGTGTCAATTAGTAGCTTTTTTTCCTACCCGAATGCAACCCCTTCTTTCGCGAAGGACCCCGAGGAAGATTTCGATTCGACTTCTCCTTCCCCTTCCTTCGAGCGATTCCTGAAAAGTAGGGGAGTGCTTTGTTGGTTCTCCTCTTTCAAGAATTCAAGATACGGTACAATTTAGTAGAAATACAATCGCTAAGTTTAAAAAAGTTTTAACTACAGTGTACAAAAGCTTAAAGAGCAATAGTCTTCTTTGAAATATTTTATACATTTACCTAAATTTAGGAGTGTGATAATACAATGTAGAAATATTCGTGCCATTAGGTACATAGGTATGAGGCATTCTCATAATTAAATAAAACTACAAAAAGTAGTGAAAATATTTGATTTTATATATCATCATACGTCAGTTTTTTTACGTTCGAAATTTAAATTTCGGGTTTAATACATTATTACAGATTTTGATGTAAAATACACCATTTGTTTTTTTCGTACTTGAAAGAAGTATAAAATTTTCACTTATAAAATTCTTTCCTTCTTGCCAGAATAATGCCATTTTATCCTTAAGGTCCCGGCTTTACCCCAGCCTCCCCTACATATTTACATATGTATTATATTACAAATACATTAAATAATAAAATATTTACCAATTAATGCTACATTTATTATCAAATTACATAAAAACCAACATATTATATTATACAAAATAAAGTAAAATGTATATCTAATCACTTAATTTCCAAAATAATAACTAGTTTACATCAACATATTTGTTAAATAGATAAAGAAAGAAAGTATGTATTTCTTTTCGGTTGGAAATAACTGCCATTTTTGATCTTTTCAAAATTCTTTAACTCTTTCATATATTTTGGTCTACTTTCTACAATCTTTAATTTCCGAATATAGATCATTTTCATCAAAACGTTTATTAAATTTCCTCTGAAATAATTTGGATTGGAACATTGTACCAATGTTTGCCTCCTAGATTTATAATTTCCTGTAATAATTTTAAATATATAGACACATAGGCATTAACATACATTTCCAATGATCTACGTTTACTATTGCCTTAGTATAATAAAAATGCTTTGTATAATAAGAATTCGTTCTTTTTTCCTACTAAATCAGATATCGATCCAAAAAAAATTCGTGCGTTTCTAAATTGCATCTTATGTTTAACTGAATATAGTAACTTCTTCGATTAGTATCCTGATATGGATAAAATTATAATTCCCTTGTTTTTCTTACAAGATGTGACTATTTTGTAAACAGATGCTGATGGTTCATTAAAAAAAGGTCTTTATATGATTTTCTCCTACATTTCATTTTGATTACAATTCTCTTTTCTTCGTGTATCAAATGCCTGTTTGAAGATGTTTTCCCAAATTTATAAAAAAATTATAAAACTTTCCCAGTTTTCCAAAATTATAAAAGACATATTTACCATAAATTTTAAATATTTGCAAACTCTCCCGTTTCTGGAAATTTTTATTTCATATTTTAACATTCTATACCTACACAATATTCTAAGTGATAATCGTTTTCACAAAGAGTTTGTTCCTTTATATGTATTTATTATCCAAAAATTCCTTAAAAATTTATAAACCTGTATGCTTTGTAGAATCATTTATTTGCCAGAATACCGACTCTAACTCTTCTTTCTTCCTCTCAATTATATCGTTACATGTAATCACTCTCCTTAATTGGAAGCGCCTTTTTCTTTGGTTTTGGATCGAACCATTTATACCCTCGATAAATCTAGTAACTCTCTCCGTGAATCTCTTTTTCGTATCTGGAATAAATACTATGGTCGATTAATTAAAAGATTTATCATTGAATGTGCAATTTGGCAGTTTTTAAACATTTGTAATAGAATTTCAGTGGGAAAATAATATTCTCTTCCAAGCAAAAAACTTGGTCTTTATGTTAACGTAAAATACACGTGTTTGAAATTTAAGAAATTACACAGAGCTTAATGAAAAATATAATAATACGTATAATAATTAATTAACGCGTGTTTAATTTACTTAATTTCAGATCGTTACTTGTAGCTGACAAAATAATAAAATTTACATATTTCTAATTAAATTTAACGTGTTAATTATCCATCGCTTGAACTATTGCTTATATTATTCAAAGAAGTAAGAAATTTTTGTTTCAAGTAACGACAATTTTTATGGATATATGGAATATTAACTATTTAGTAACGCAAATAACAAACTTGTTAGACTTATATCCTTACA